CGACGCCTATTGGTAGGATACGCGAGCGTGTAGATTGCTACATGATGACTCAGATGCGAGCGATTAGGCGCGGGAGCCGACGCTCGCGCGAGTATCGCCAGCTGTCGGCGTAGCAAAGTGTTACTTAATGGACGCGAAAGGGTATTAATGTGGGTAGTCGCGTCCTTGCCTGTGTTCCTTGATTTACGCAAGTTTGCATTACGCGAATTTAGCAATAGCGCTATCACTTAATACAATAAATTTATTGAAGAATAACAAGACAAGCACTACAAGAATAACTCGACGGCGGGACTGCCAGGCGCGTGGCGGAACGTAAAATATGTGATGTTATCGATTGTATTAGCGGACCCGGAAAATGTCTAGAAATGTTTACGTGTGCATTGGCTTGGTGCTTCGCTTCGCTGCTGATGCGCAGGTAAAGGCCGTTACTTGCCGATAAACTTTCAAATCGGGCTTCGGAATGTCGCAAATAAGTTCAAAATATCGGCAGTTCAAGCGATTGGGGGGGGCGCTCGAAGATGAAATTATGAATCAATCATTGATTAAATGCCGTCCGTTAATGAATCATCATTACTGTTACAATGTGTCGTGTGGGGGGAGGCTAGCGGTAATCTTCCGGGGGTGGGCGGGTATTTGTGCTGGTGGGTAATTGTCCGGGTGGGTATTAGTCCTGGTGGCGTAATTGTTCCGGAGTGGGTAATGTCCAGGGGTAGTTGTCCTAGTGGGTAAGTTGTCCTGCGTGGGTAATCGTTCTGGTGGCGTAATCGTCTTGGCGTGGGTAATTGTCCGGTGGTAATGTCCAGTGGCGTAGTTGTCGGATACGGCCACACAACCCCACACAACGTTTCACACACCGCCCCACACACGTCCTGACACACCGCCCACCCACACACCCACACACCGCCCCACACACCGTTTCCCCACCACCGCCTACACACCACCCACACGCCCGCCCCACTCCACCACCCACACACCACCACCACACGACCAACCCACACACGGCCCACACACCGCCCACACACACCCTACACACGCCCCACGACACCGCCCCGACCCGCCACCCTACACACCGCCCACCTCACCGCCCACCACCCACCCACACACACCCCCACACCATCCACACACCACCCCACCACCACCATCCACACGCACCCCACACACGCCACCCGCACCCTACACACGCCACCCGCCAACCTACCACCGCCACAACCACCACCCCCCCACACACCACCTACACACGCCACACCGCCTACACCACCCCCTAACACGCACACACGCCACACCACCACTACACACGCCCCCCACCACCCCACACACCGCCCACACACCACCCCACCACCCAACACCACCCCACCACCACCCACCACCGCCCCACACCAACCCTACACACGCCCACACACCGCCCCACTACAGCCCACACATCACCCAACACACCATCCACGCACCGCCCACACACCACCCCAACCGCCCCGCCCCCACCCACTCCACACACCACCCCAAACACCGCCCACCACCACCCTCACCGCCCACACACCGCCCCACACACGCCCACACACCGCCCCACCGCCACCCTACACACCGCCCAACACGCCGACCACACACTCCTCACACGCCCCCACACCACCCACACACCACCCTACACACTGCCCAACACGCACCCACACCTAACACACCGCCCACACAGCATCCCCACACGCCACACCACCGCCCCACACACTGTCCCCTCACACACCGCCCACACACGCCCCACACACTGCCCCCACACCAGCCCCACAGGCACCACCACACACACCCACACACAGCCCACACACCACCCCACACACGCCCACACACACCCAACACACCACACACCACACACACACGCCCCACACCACCCACCAGAATCCACCACCGCCACAACGCCCACACAGCATCCCACACACGCCCACCACACCCTACACACCGCCCCCACCACCGCCCACACCACCTACACACGCCCCACACACGCCCAACCCCACCACACGCCACCCTACACACCGGCCGTACACACCGCCCACACACCGCCCACCACGCCCCACACACCGCCCTTACATCACCGCCCACACACCGCCCCACCACCACCCTTACACACCGCCCCACACACCGCCCACAACCCCACACGCCCCCTAACACGCCAACACCGCCTCACACACCGCCCCACACCACCCCAACCATCCACCCCACACACACCACACAACACACCACACACACGCCCGGGTACACCCACCCCTACCACCCCCACACACCGCCAACACCGCCCACACCGCCCCACACACCCACTCCACAACTACCAACACCATCCACCACCACCCACACACCACACCCGCCCACCACGCACACACACTCCACCACCCCCAACACCCACACACCACCCACACCACCGACCCTGACACCCACACCCCCCACACACCAACACACACAACACACACACACACAGCACTCATACACACCACACACACAAACCACACACCACACACACCACACATACAACACACACCACACACACACAACACACACAACACACACAACACACACACAACCACACACACAACACACATACACATACCACCCCCCCCACCATAACTCCAACACAGGTATTGGATACGAACTACCTTAAAAATTGTCTCTTTCAGGAGATATCACCATTGGCTTCAAAGAAGACTGGAAAAGTGAGGATCGCCCTTTAAGGCCTACTTTATGAATGAAAAAACGTCAATTTGATCAGCTTGCATAAGCTTGGTTGCTCGCACATATACAAACATGACAACTGGAGAAACTGTGCTCTAATGCGTAAGATTTAGCTGTAACTTTGTAAGTAAACGAATTTGTTTAATATTGTATTGCAATAAGTGATGATTGCCCGTTGGTCGCAGCGTGCGCAAAACCAGGGAGGGGCCACAAAGGACACGTACCTACCACAACTATTTTCGCGGTTAGTAACGTACATAAATTAATTATACAATCGACTGCCATGAAACTACTGCACCGATTTTAAAAATTGTTTTATTTGATGCGGCGCATATTTTATATTGAGTATATGTTCTGTCAAGCCGGCCATTTTCATCATTTACGTAAACATTTTCATTGGCCTGACGGTGGCGTGAGCGAACACGTAATCAAACTCGCGGTGATTTTGGTTTAACTGTGTTTTGCCGGTACCTGCATCAGCAAACTTAACCTTTCATTTGACTTTTGCGGTCGCGTGAAACGGGCCTGCGCCGTGCCCTGTCAGTGTGAGACTGCGCAATAAGATATATATTAGATTTTGAATTTTGCCTAGGAAACGCGCGTGATCGGCCGTTGCCGTGCCGGCCGTGTCGTGTCGGTGTGTCTGAAGACAGCTAGAAAGGAGAGAGATCAATAGTTAGAAAGGAGAGCGGAGAGAGAGATGAGACAGACAGGTAGAGAGGAAAGATTAGTCTCGTACTTCACCTGAATTGATACAGTTTAAAAAAAAGTCAAATCCAGTTAGAGATGGAGAGGAGAAAGGAGAGAGAGAGAGAAGAGAGGAGAGAGAAAGAGAAGAAAGTCTATCTCGTACCACCTGAATTGATACAGTTAATAAGTTAAATCTTTCACATAGTGGCGATAGGGATGGTGCTATTTCGTTTCAGCTACCTGGAGGCCGCACGCTTTCACCAATAAATGGCTACAGTTAGGGATTAGTCACTGGTAGCACTGCGAGTTAACTGCCAATACTCTATCTCTATTTGCTGATGCTGAGCCAAGAGCCGCTTAGATATTGCTTAAGTATGATGTGGTTATTGCATCAAGAATATATTATATTTATTTAGCCTATTTTGCTACCAAGTTTATTCATGTTTTTGCATTGTGAGCGTGCCATTTATATATATAGTTCCCTAAACATACTTTGGCAGTGGCCTTGGGATGAGTATCCCGTGTGTATTTCTATGTCCACGTGCTTTGTCGCTTTCATCTACCTTCTTGTTAAGGCCTATTACACGATGACGTCCTAGACGTACGTCTGTCCATCAGTCAGACGCCAATTTACGTCCAAAAAACGCACACGTGTAAACCATGCGGTACGACACGATTTTTTGACCCCTGGCAATATCGGATGCCACTATAGAGCATGTTTCTAATTTCTTGCACATTGTAAGCAGGACGCAAGAACTCAGACAATCAGGTGGGGGGCGCATGAGGTTGGGTCACGTGCTTAAGTGTTCTTCGCGATGAACAGTGTTGACAGCTGGCGCATACCCTGCTGGATCACAGATAAGCGTTCTGCAGCAGAGAATTGGTTCCCTCATATTGCGGTGTAGAGCGTGGATTATTGGGTGTGATGCCTTTCAAGAAGTATCTGCGGAAGTGTCCATTATGTCCCATCTCACAAAATTTTCGGAAGCGGGGTCTTCTTACCTTCATCTTTTTTTAGTACTGATTACGCCTCCAAGTTTGTTCTCATGGGATCTAAGCGTCTTGCCAGCTGCCTCTTCTTTGCGAAATTTCATATTTTTTCTTAATTCCTGCCACAAGAAGAGACGCTATGGCAATTTTCTTCAGCCGCCGTGTACGTGTTCTCCCCATGGCGGCCTGCCCGTGAACTACTTGTCCTGGACGTACGAACAAAACTCACCGTGTAAACAGATTCACCGTTGCGTCAAGGACGTATGCTAAAATCTGATAAGGCCTGGACATACGTCTAGGACGCATCTTGTAAATAGACCTTAAAAAACGCACAGCAAGTCCGGAGCTGCACGCGGACCGTGCCTCGAGAAAACATATCCCGCCTATTTCGCTCACGTCCTTGACGAGTGGGTATATAATGCAGCCCGGGGCAAACGCAGCACTGCATAGACAATCTGTTCACCTAGAAAAGGGTTCACAACTTTTAGCTTCTAACGATGGCTGTTGTAAGTGTAGCAACGTGGCTCGCGCCTATGAACCTGGCTATCGTGGCTCTAACCCTGTTTGTTGGCTACTTACTACTGAGACCAAACCGCTGGCGGGGTAACCCACCGCCCGGCCCCAGCGGGTGGCCCGTCGTCGGCAGCATGTTCGAACTCGGCAACCGACCGGAGATCTTTTTCAATAAGATGTCGGAGCGATACGGAAATATATTCAGCTTAAACTTGGGACAGAAGCGCGTAGTTGTTGTCAACAGCTACGAGACGTGGGCAGAGGCTATCGTAGAGAAGGGGCACATCTTTGCCGACCGACCCGACCTTTTATCTTTCAAGCTACTACAAGAGGGGGACCAAAGTCTCGGTGTGGCATTCACAAGAGCTTCGGAAATGCAACGCAAGAAAATCAAATTCGTTCGTGCGGCTTTGAATCCGGCCATTCCTGAAGTCGCTGAGAAGTTTAAGACGATTATAGCGAGTGAAGTCGCGTTGCTAATGCAGGACGTCGCTAGCGAGCACGGTAAATCGTTCGACCCACGTAAAATGGTTGAATTCTGTTTCGTCAACATCATCGGAATGTGGCTCTATGGGAAAATGTTCCAACAGCGAGACGAGCAGTACTTGAAATGGGCGGCCACGTTTGCTCGCAGGTTCGTATCTACGTTGACTACTAGAAAGTTTCCGGATGTGACTGAAGCGCAGTAAATAATGTCGAGAGGGAGAGAGAGAGCGCGCGAGAAAGTGAAGGAAAGAATTAGAGAAAGAGAGTGTGTGAGAGAGAAAAAGCGGTCTTTGAAGATGTGGCGAGTATGAAAACTGCAATGTTGGTATTTGTACGTCCCTCGTACACGTCAGTAAACGTTCGTAGACAGTGATGGTCGAAGACGTCTTGTATATTATAGATGGCTTTATTCGAATCCATATGTCATCATATACACAAACTCAACCGCACGCCAGTGCCACACCCTGCCTTCTCTCCCGAATATTCCTTTTTCCCTATCTAGGTTGCGCCTGCCATACCTCTAGTCTCAACTTGTTGTGACCGGTTTGGATCGACGACCAGTGTGACTTTCCGTGCTCTGAGCAGAATGTTCTGTGGCGCATTCTTATATTGTGTCGTATTACAGCGCCAAATTTCACTCCGCCATATTCAAGTCGATTAAAACCGGTAATTTAATCGGCTTCTCAGTCTCCTGACTGATTAAAAACATACTTTAATAAACTAGATACTATGGAGACGTAACTATTAGTATAGCATAGTAACAATGCTTTATCATAGCGTCCTATCCGAGTCGAGTAGCGGCGTGTCCGCTGAAGGTCGTAACTCATCACATTAGGACTTCGTTAAACGCGATCAACATGTCGACGGTGGTGATCGGTACTTAAGCTTCCCAATTGAGAGATTAGTCAAGTGCTGCGGCATTCGTCGTTCTGCCGATCTCCCCAGCGTCCTCCACATTGATGTGTGGTTTGTACATCCCGTCCAGCGGCTGGTACATGGAGCGTTGAGAGCTACAGACGACGATGTCGGTAGACTGAAACGTGTGCTGTTCTGTCTGTCAGTTAACGTCTATATCACGTGACTTGACTATAGGATACTCCTTGCCCGACTCATGAAACTAAGGTTCCTCGGCTAATCATTAAATTTTGTCTGCGTAGTGCCATCCGCACACAGCATGTCAACTATAGCTATCTCCACGAGATATATGTCCTTAACTATGCGCGCTTTACATGCATATCCTTTTCATTACAACGTATACAATCGTATGTCGGCATTGAACCGTTCGAAATAAGGTTCGCATTATTAGCCTCGAAATATCATAATATGTAATTTGGGTAGAACGTGAATATAATAGGAGATGAAGTGGACTGTGTGTGAGAATGAATGGGTGGGTAGAGGAATTTAGGGTGAAGCTTTTCTGTGTAATTTGGGTGGAAGGAGAGAGAAATGGCGATAGATTGGGAAGAAGGAACGTGTATCGATGCAGAAAACAAAAAACAAATTTAGACGTTCGAGATAGAGACAAAGATGGAGATAGATGCAATAGAAGGAAAGGAGTGAGACAAAGGGCGAGAAAGAGATGCGAGAGAAAGAGTTGGAGATATGAATAGGAAACGAGGAAAACGTCAAGAGAGAGAGAGAGCGAGGTGGAGGAATAAGAGAGAAAGGGAGGAAGGAGGAAGCAAGGGAAGAGGAGTCTTGGATGATAGGAGGAACGGGAGAGAGTGAGAGTAGGGGTGATCAGGGTAAATAGCCGGTAGATGCGCCGTGTCATGATGTACATTTTTACTTTAAGGTTGGAGCTAGGATCATGTCTGCTTGTGGACTGGTTCCCATCGCTTGCCTACATTACCAGCGCTGAAGTCAAAGAATTAAAAGTATTCGTACAAACGATTGTGGGCTGGCATATGAAAATAGTAAAGGAACACCGGCAGACGTGATCGATCCAGCTCGCCGCCGATTTTCTCGACACCTACTAATCCAGCGCAGAAAAAAAAAAAAAAAATGGGCGCTGATGGTGTCCGACACGATATCTGCCTGTGTGTTAGATTGATCTACAGAGCGCGGGTTTGACACTGTCACTTGCCAGACACAAAACTGGGCATTCAGCTGCGTGCTGCAGCAATCCAGACGTGCGAAGAAGTGCAGGCTGAGATCGACGAGGGTCGTCGGAGTAAGCGGCAGAGCGCGACGACGAAGGGATCGCCGCACATGCCTACTTGGAGGCTACGCTTTGGGAGATTCAGCGTGTAGCAATAACGGCCCCCATGCCTGGCATACGCGGTGCATTGTTTGATACCACCTTAGGAGGCTTTAACGTGCCTAAGGATACCATTCTACTGATCAACCACGCCAAGATGGCTATGAATCCCATCAATTTCCCACAGCCACAGAAGTTTGACCCGACTAGGTATCTGGATGAGAACGGAGTCGTCGTGGCACCGGATAAAAAGATTATGCTGTTTGGCAACGGCTTCCGAAAGTGTCCCGGCATGCAAATCGCTCGCGACATGATGTTTACTGTCATGGCAAACCTGTTGCAGCGTTTCACATTACAGCTACCAGAGGGCGTTACAGTTTTCCCTGTCGGCAGAAGGGAAGGTCTTGTGCAGCATCCACTTCCTTATAAGATCAGAGCTATCCCGCGATAAACGCAACCGCAATAAAAGAGGAAAAATAAAGTAAAGCATTATGGTGTTGGTTAACATAATAAAAATAACTCGGTTTACTTTGCAATAGCATTCTCCTTGTAATCATTTATCAGTAATGGTTCTCAATGGAAAATGTATATTCAATAAAGATATATTAGTTATCGAAAAAGATTGTCTTCTTTTTCTAGTTATTTTGTTGCTCTTCAACGAACTATTCGCTATTCTAGTATGCGTAGATAGATATACGTATGTGTACATTTTGATAAATCGAGCCATCACTCGTAAACCTGCTGCAAGATGATATTATAATCTGTATATCATTCGCTCCCTACTCAGAAAATTCTCGGCTGTTTCATTAATCAGAAAAATGTGGTATTATTTAATCATTTGGTATGTCTATGAAGGCTGGGAATCATGTCAATCCTTTTGCATATTTTAACGAAATTATACAATTATCGAAAAGAAATTATGCATACAAAATATCGAACACTCAGTCTACCTTCATTTACGCACATGCAGGATTCAGCTTAACAATAAATGCAAAACTCACATCATCTTGAAATTTATACGTGAATCATTTCACGCCCATGCATATTTAAACTCGTTGAATTCGTCTGTGAATGCGTGGACGAATAGTCAATAGCCATTATTATCTACTTGAAAGAAAGAGTAATTCGGTGTTAAGTCAACGACATCGTCATGAGTTCGTATGAGGCTACTGATCACAGCTGTGTCAACAGCAAGTTGATATTTGGTGCGGGAATTCTTGCCGATTGACTGCCAAGCGGTCACGAAAATGTTCGAATATATTAACCGCTTTACATGTTACCATGTCTCTGTTTGTGTAAACTAATACGTGAAGTGTTTGATTGATTCGCTACAGCTTATACCGTGCTATATATATATTAATATGTACATACACACACACACACACACACACACACACACACACACACACACACACACACAC